GCTTCTTGTGGTTGTTTTGTTTCTTATGTGCAGGGCATTTGACCGAAGACCCCAACGAAGACCCCAATGAACTCAGGCTACTCAGTTGCATCCTAATACGCTCACTACTGCAATAATGGGCCGAACTACAGTTCGTGGGAGTATGGCCAGACGTACGCTTTCCCTTACGAGAAACCTTGGAATCCATCATCGTTCGAGCAGTTATATGAGTCCCCTGTGGACTCCTCAGAGTACGATGCTAAGCTTGATCGGATTCTCGATATTTTGACCTCCCAAGAAGCCCGGAGGAAAAATCTTGAGGACGGAATCGAGAACCTAGCAGAACATATACGAGTTATGGAAGACCGAGTTTACAATTCTTCCCCCTATTCTCTCGTGGATAATGAACATCAGGGGAACACTTTGATGGTTGATGAAAAACTCGATCTCATTCTTGCTCGTGTGTTGGCCCAAACAACTCAATTGAAGGAATTGAGGTTGGATGCACTCGATTGGTGGTGCAGCTTGACGGTATAATGGAACACATCCAGTCCATTGAGCCACAAGTCAATGAGCCCCTTATCAATGCCTATCAGATTCACGCGGGTGAGACTGTAGAAGAGGAAGATGCGCTCCCAAAGATTGAGGGTGGTATCCTGATGGAGGAAACTCCTGGGTCCAAATTCGAGAGTCCCTCACTTGAGCCATCCCTCCACACCGTCGAGAAGACTCCATTTAGCTCGACATGCTCCACAGACACTCTCGTATTCTGAGAGATTGACTATTGAGCTTTGATAAGAAGAGCTCTGGGCCGTTTCGTTGCCATCCTTGGAGCTCATGCTTGGTTCCACAAGAACATTGCCACCCGAGCCCACCAGGTCCACAGACATGCCACGCTGCCCGGGCTACCACTTCTTGAAAATACAAAGACGTGGCACGACCGTCACTTCTTCCTAGATCTCGGTTGAGTTCCCCTCAGGTTTGGTCAAGCTAATGACGTTAAAAAAGTGCTTCTTGGGAGGCAACCCAAGTGATTTACTGCTTTCTAGATATTTTCGTTTTTGTTTTCTTTTTTTAGTTTTATTCTTTGAATAAGAATGGAGTTCTGTGTCTTTCTTGGTAGGTACGTATGCCAGCTCGAGGTTGAAAGAAGAGTTTCGAGGTTCTGGGCTGCGCATAGAGGAGCGGCTTGCACGTGTGGTTATTCTCCTCGAGGCATCTTCAGTTTGCACACCCTTTCTCTTTTTTATCTTTTTGAGTTTGTTTTCTTCTTCTGTGTTTTCTTTTGAGTCTTGTGTTCTTTTGGTGTTTGCTAGTATTGGTTTGTTTTATGAAATTGCTAGGTCCTTTTATTTGACTTCCTGGTTTTATGTTGAAGCAACTAGGTCATTGCCTCATTTTAAGTGTGGGGGAGTCTAGTTGGATTTTGCATGCTTATATGGTGGACCGGTCTAGCTTTAGGTTTTTGTTTTGTTGAGCATGGTATTGGTGAATTATATGAATTATGGATGAATGTTTGATGAAATTTAGAAGTTGTGATGATGAACGTGTGGTCATTGCCTCGGTATTTGCTTGATTGCTTTGAGTGACATTTATTTGCCTTGTGAGGTTTTGATCCTTACTCTTTTTCTTGTGAGATGTTGGTCATATTCTTGAATGATTAGAACTTGTCTTGAATTTGTCTGAAAGAAATCGATTAGAGTTTGAAATTGCGAAAATGATTGAGGCGTTTTGTTTGATTAGCTCTCTTTAGTCTTGTTCTTTGATCCTACACGTTATTGTCCCTAGTAGCCCGTTTGAGCTTTGCGCCTTTTTCTTGTTAGCCGTACATGGAATGTATTTTGTTGACTGATTTGGTGATGATTGGTGAAAATGGTGTCTTTGTTGAATGAGGTGAATTGGAGTTGTAGTTTATTTGCTTGACCAATTAAAAAAACAAACATGAGAGCTCACAGAACGATTCGAATGGATTCTGCTCCTCTTACTAGTCGACTCATGTTGACGGGTAATGAGCATTGGGAAACTACTGTAGGACACTTGGATGACCTCCAATGTTTAAATCTATAGATGTTGTCCTTTCGATTCGTTTTTGTTCGGAAGAAGTTACTCTCCAAAGAAGAATAAAATAAAAGTAAAAAAAAAAGAAAAGAAAAAAAATAAGGTTAAGTGACGATGTTGCAACTTGTTCTGAGCATTTATGTGTTGTTTGTGGAATGTTGGTGGACGGTATGTGTGCTAGTTTGTTAGTTTGGATGAGTAGCTGACATTCGAGTAGTCTATTACTCGAAAAATTTGGATTGATTATTTGAGCTTCATATCAATATATATATTCGTACCTTTACCTTAGCCCACATTACAACCCGTGAAGTCCTCTTGATTCGTATATTTTGAACTTTGATTGTTTTCGAGTAATTTAAACGATAGGCAAGCATATGTTGAAACTTGAATATTGACCAACTTTGAGCGTACCTATCACATAGTCATGTAAGAAAA